ATATGGTAAGTCGGACAACTGTTGTTGACATCCCCCCTCAAATTGATGCTGGTACATCAACCAGCAACAATTTGTTCACAAAAAATTGATGTTGTTGATTGAGTTAAAGCTTTGGTAATGCCAAGTTCAGAGAGTAATCCACGCAACCAAACAATTTTATAACAAGCAGATGACATAGCATGGTATTCAGCTTCAATGGAAATTTAGACACCCTTTCTTATTTCTTGCACTTCCAGGAAATCAAAGACTGGCCAAGATACATGCACCAGCCAGCTGTCGAACAATGTGTGTCAGAACATCTCGCCCAATCTACATCACTATTGGCAACTAGATCAAGAGGAGATGCAGTAGGAAAATAATCCACGCATCAGAATACCCATAAGATATTGAATGATTCGACGAACAGTAGTCATATGGAGATACCGAGGAGAATACATAAATTGACTCACTTGGTGAATAGAATATGAGATGTCAGGTCGAGTGATAGTTACGTAAACAAGACTTCCTAAAAATTTCTGATATAAGGTAGGATCAGGAAGAAGGTCCCCTTCATCTTTTCAATACTTGGCATTAACTTCCAATGGAGTATCAATAGGAGTTGAATTTTGTAGTCCAGCCAAGTCAATAAGGTCTTTAATATACTTCTGCTGATTTAGGAAGAGACCTTTAGCAGATCTATGCACTTCTAAACCCAAAAAATATGTGAGAGGTCCAAGATCTTTCATATGAAATGAAGCATGAAGAGACTGATGAAGCTGATCAATCAAAGTGGAATCAGTGCCACTAATAATTATATCATCCACATAGGCAAGAAGGACAACAATACCAGAAGATGTTGTGCGAAGACATTTTGAAGGATCATACTGGCTTTTCACAAAAGAAAGTTTAACAAATGTTGGTCAACTTTTTAAACCATGATCAAGGTGCTTGTTTTAGTCCATAAAGAGACCATTTTAAATGGCATACATCTATAGGAGAAGAACTAACCACACTAGGAGGAAGACGCATATAAATATCTTATTTAAGGTCCCTATGAAGGAAAGCATTTTTAACATCAATTTGATGAAGAGGCCAACTTTGTGAGGTAACAATAGAAAAAAATCGTCCGAACTGTGGTCATTTTGGCTACAGAAACAAATGTTTCATCATAGTCAATACCATATTCTTGGCAGTTGCCAAGAAACACAAGTCTTGCCTTATAACGGTCATAAGAACCATCAGAACAGAGCTTAACTGAATAAACCCATTTACAACCAGTGAGCTTTATAGACGATGGGCAAGGAATAATATCTCATGTTTGATTCACTTGAAGAACATCTAGTTCCTCCTGCATAACTTTATGCCAGCACTCATTTTTCTCAGCATGATTATAGCAAAAAGGTATAGAAATTGAAGATAATGTAGTAACTAAAGATGTACATGAAAAGGCATAACGATTAGGTGAATATCCATACCAATCAGGAGGACAAGATGTACTAGTTGACTTGCGAAAAGGTGGACATGCCCTAGCAGATTCAGGTGTTGGAATAGGATTGTTCGAGGGCCCGTCTGAGGACACATCATGATGTTGGCGTCTTTTATACAAAAACCCTGATAAGTTCGTGAAGAGGAAGGTGACCATTTTTATGAGGGGCATACCCAAGGAACACACATGTAACTAATTAGGCTGAAAGTTTATTACGTTTGTAAGGAGGAAATATGTTGACTAAGATTGCAATTTTGGAGATAGAAGACAATTAATTAGGTAAACTGTAGTAGAAAGAGCTTCAACCCAAAACTTAGGTGGAACTGATGATTCAAGAAGCAGTGATCGTACCACATCGAGGAGGTGGCCATTTTATCTTTCCGCAACACCATTTGTTGTGGGATAGAAAGACAAGATCTTTGAGAACTAATGCTTTTTTGTTGAAGAAAATCATGGAATTCATTAGACATGTACTCTCCTCCTAAATCTGATCGAAAAATCTTGATGGAAGTTGAAATTTGATTTTCATGAGAGCTATGAAACTTTTGAAAGCTTGAGAGACCTCAGCTTTTGATCGGAGGAATTATACCCATGTGAACCTACTATGGTCATCAATAAAAATCACAAAATATTTGCATTGGGCATGAGAAATGACTGGTGTAATACCTAAACATTACTATGAATAAGGTTGAAACAGTTTTGGGAAAGAGAGGACCATGGATAGGAAAAGGTAAAACTTTACTTTTTCCCAATTTACAACTAGAGCAGTCAAATTCTACATCCTTGAAGAACATTGAATGTTCAAGCAAACCGCAATGCAACATTGGAAGTAAAATTTTGGAATTAGGGGTGCCCAAAACGATTGTGCCATCTGGCCTTTATTTTTGGCACCAAAACAAGCCGAAGAAAACATGTGAGAATCTCTAACGACAGTGGATATGGGTATGTGTAGAGGACAGAGTTGTCTGCATTTAGGCCCCTTGGTGATCGCTAGATGGGGAAAAATAACATTACAACCATTATCCACCAATTGTCCAACAAAAATAAGGTTAGCGGATAAACCAGGAGAAAAAAAAAATACTTATTACAAAGATGTAGAAGCATCACCAATGGCTGTAATGGGAACATAATCTCCATTTGCTGTATGAATTTTCGAATTGCCAATGTAGGTTTTGACATTAGATAGATTCTTGGAGGAATATGTCATGTGATTGGAGGCTCCGGAATATAAAAACCAAAGGTTTGTAGGAGATAGACTATCACCTGTAAGCCCAAAGGCAGAAAAATCTGATAGAATCAACTGTTGGACCATTTTAGGTGTTATACGACCATGGGCAGCAATTGTAAATGAAGAGTAGCTGATCAGAAGTTGAAATTTGGTAGTAATGGAGAATGCTTCTTGTTGGGGAGTCAAGGTTGTATTAGCAGCAAAAACATAATCTGAAACTTTGGTTGTGGCACGAAATACTCCTTGAATCCTGTTTTGTGGCTGTTTTCGACATGCTGTGATAATATGTCCATTTTACTTGCATTTGCTGCAAAATTTATTTTGACATTGTGTCGCAAGATGACCAAACTCCTTACAACTATAACATTGAGTTTTTCTCATGTCCCGAGCTTTTTGCTTGCCATGTGCTGCATAGGTCACATTAAGAGGATTGTTGATCGCGTTTTGTTGTTCCATGGTTGCCTGTGTACAACAGCGTTATTCCTCACGGTGGGGTTCACTCAAACAAGTATCCAAAGATGGTAAAGGAACTCGGTTCATCAAGCTGGACCGAACATTTTCAAAATATGGACGTAATTTCATTAAAAATTCATCTCTCTTGCTAGATTCATGAATTTTTTGAGTAGTGGGCAATGATTCAGCCGGCACTGTGGAATATACAAGATCAAAATATTCAGTCCACAAATTAATAAAACCTACGTAATATTTCTGGATGGAATGGCTCCCTTGCATATAGTTGAAAATGTCAAATTCCAATTGAAATCTGCGAGCATCATTATCTTGGTTGTAAACCCATTTCAAATATGTGGACTGTTTTATATGGTCAGAGATTTAAAACAATGTGGGAGTCAATAAAACTCAAGCAGCAGTGGGTATCCTCATCAGAAACTCCAAAGGACAAACTCAAGATGTAAGGGATGCATGCTTGTTGGCAAAAGAGCAAAATCTGGACAATGCGATGGTTGAATCAGATAGTTTGAAAATTATCCAACTCGGTTCAACGAAAGATGTGCCTCCATGGGAGGCCGCCATTTTCATTGAAGATACTAGAGACTATGCCAAGGTCCTCAATCTGACATTTGTCCACAAACCAGCTCATTGGATTGGTGCACCCCAGTCAAAGCATCTACTCCCACCAAACTGGTTCATCAACCCGCCAAGGGAACTTTGACTTTTGTTGCATGCTGATTGTAATTTTGTGAATGATTCATAGTGCAATACAATCATACATGTTAAAAAAAAGAAAAGAAAAACAGAACCCAGTACCCAATTCATGATACGAGCATCCTGTACTTCCCATTCAGTAACTTTGATAGTATCTGTAGGTTTAGGATTTGATCCATCAAGATGGCCCCATAATTTTTTGCCCTTGATGTACGTTTGGAATTAGAATTCCCAAGAAAATTAGTTTTTCCCCGAAAATCGAATGCAAAGGAAATCTGATTTTTCGATACACATTTGAATAGGCCTAGGACGAATAAATCAGGCCACGAAAATAGAAGACAAGTCTTACCCTCAGCAAAAGATAATTGGATTTTGAAACCAAAGAATAAACCAAGAATTTGAACCAGATTTGTATGAGCCTCAAGAGAAAACTCAACAAAATTATTATTGGCTAGTCAAAGAAAGGAGAAATCCACAAAGTTACCAGTCTAAAATGGGCCAAAAACTATCAGCCAACAATAATGAAAGTAACCAACCAGGATGAATTCAGGTAACCAAAGATCTTATCCCCAAGAAATTGAAGTTTACCCCCAAAGGATTAAGTTTTAGATAAAAAAAAACAGAATTACCTCTGATGCTAAAAAATTCAGAAACGTAGGTCGGATGGACAGATCGTGATGAAACCAAATTGCGGTAAAAACATCAAGACGATGCACTGAAAGATGAGACTGACTGATACCGTGTCAAAACAAGAACACGAGTTGCCGGAAAATTCTGCCCCCTCATATGTCCTACTCTATAGCTCAACTAAATCAATTAAGATCCCTATTCTATGTATCCCACAGTCATAATATCTTCTAAGAATGGAAACAATATTATGTCAGATCTCTATTCACAACAATGAATTTTGGTGATATACATGAAAGTACCTCAATTTTGCTTGGGTCTAATCCCATAAATTTAATAGGAACACATTCTTCCCAGGATCTTGACATACAATTACACTAAAAAAAATAGCATTGCAATGGTGGGAAGCTGCAACTGAATCATTTTCTTGTTATTCTCTTTTCATTGTATAAGATGTCTCTGGGTATTTCCTACATTACAAAACATTACCGTCAAGTGCTAGAACAAATAATGACATCACTTCTTCTTTTTGTCTTCGTTAGCTCCTTCCAGAACAACAGGGGCCGCTGGTATGCTGAACCACCACTCTCTCAATCTCCTTGTCCATCTTTCTGTGCTTGCTTTTCGAAGAGGCGAGTACTTGGTAAATGTTTCCAAAAAAAACCCTAGAATTATGTATTTTCTGGATAGGAAGATCATGATCAAGGCCATGACCAAAAGAGCAACTGCAACTTTCTCACTGGCCTGAACATAAGACACACAAGCGTAACATTAAACCTACAGAAAATTTGCTAGGAAAGTTAGTGCTGAGGATATGGGTAGAGAACAGTTTACTAAAACTTTTGAACATACAGAAGCATTGATTAGCATCTATAAACAGCAATGAAAAATGAATAAAACAAGGTAATAGCTAAAATCTTCTAGGCCCAAAAGCTTGGATAACCTATACGCTGACACGACACGGACAAGTTGAGGACACGTTAAATATTATGTGCATATATTTATACACATAATATTTAATTCATCCATTTCTTAATTCTAAAAATTCAAATCATTACATCACCACATAAAAAATACAATATAAGATATACCGATGCACATTCATCATTAACCATCTATGATCCAATAATCAATTAACACTACAAATTCCATTTTCCAGAATCTTCCACTTCATTACACATTTTTCATCAATTTCAAACAACCCCAATTTTGTAACCCCATATTTCATCACATTACTTTTATATTAAAAGTTATTCCATTTGTATATAAGTTCATATTCTTGTCCAAAATTATGCTATATCCATGTCCCATGTTCATGTAGTGATTATAACTCTATATTTTGACTTTGACCTATATTTCTTTAAAATTACAAAAATAACTTCCTTAATAATGAAGTCATTTGAAAACTTTTCAAAAATTTGGGAAAAAAATCTCAAAACATGTCCCAGCATGTCGGCCACATGTCCTCAGCGTGTCCCCAACGTGTCAACCACGATGTTAAAATGAATGTTTGGTTTATTTATAATTTGTTTTTTGCAAATACATTTTGGATATGTTGGAGACACGTAACTGACAAGCACACGACAAGCTCCCCCCCACCCCACCCCCCCNCATCATAACCTAAATCTGGAATTTGACTTCTTCATGGATGCTACTTTTTTTTTTCGATCCAGAGGTCTGAAACATAGTTACCAAAATCGCTAAATCCCTGATGACCTATGACCTGGGAACAACGATCACAAACAGGGTGGGTTTGGTGTCCAAATCACCTAAATATCTGGCCCTAAATTATAATACTAACTCCAAATCGATTCGTTTTTGGAATGTATATCACAATGTAAAATAAACATTAATTAACTATGTATATATGGATTTATAACTTTATATAACCTTAGTTAATAGGAAATTTAAGCACAAAATTTAAAATCAATAGTAATTGACTATGAGTATATGGATGCACTATTATGTGTTGTTTCATGTATAAGTAAAAGCGATTTATACAAGTGTTCCACAACAAATTGCAATCCAAAATCGTACCAGTTAAGCCTACCCACATCTCACCGTGTAACTAAGAAAGTACCGTATCGTGTACTCGTACCCACACCATGTACTAAATCGCGAGTCATGATTCAGGTAACATTGGTCTGAAAATGTGGAGGCTGATTTCTTCGTGAAGCATCAGACAGTTATAGGAGAGAATATTAGGGCATTATAATTATATATTGGCTGTGGGTGGGATTGTAGGCATCCATTCTTGTTGTCTTCTTCCTTTGGATTTGTGTTTTGCTAGGTGTCTCGTTCTCCCCTTTTGTGCTATAACGTGGTGTTGATGTAAGCCATCGTAAGTTGTGTACAGTGAAAATTTGTATAACTTGTTCATAATGTTTTCATTGTCCAATGAAAACACAAATTTCCTGTCATGATTTTTAATTTTGCACATTTTAGGCCACTATCATCGTTCCAACAGAGTGAAACCTTTAAGTTAGAAGTTATGTCCTGGCATTTGGAGTTTCAGTTTCTTTAAATTGGTCTGAGTTGTTGGTTTTCAATGAACATGAACTTGTTATGCAGATTATTCTCTCTCAGGAGAAAAATATTCAGAAACTCAATGACCTTGTGCGAAGCCTTCAAGAACAGTTGCTACAATGCAGGGGCAAAATAGAGGCTGTCAACGACACCACTACCCAACTGAACTTCTAAATGAGCTTGAGTAGCAGCAAATCATGAAGACTAATCAGGAACCAAACTTGTTCATTATCATTGTCCTTGGTATGTGATACTATATTGATTGTGTTAGTTTGTGGCCTGTATGCCACCACCTTGGGCCAAACTAATCCCCTATCTTGATTGCTTTAGTTTTTGATTTCCAGTCTCTTCTTATGATATAAGAATCTCCTGTCAATATGAATTGAAAAGTGTAAAATGTCCGCTCCCCCCCCCCCCCCCCCCCAAAAAAAAAAAAACAAAAAAGAAGTTTTTTAGAAACTTGTGGTGCTTTTATAAATGACAAAGTTATCATTGTACTTTTAAAGATTGGGGGCAGAGTTGTAATATGATAATATAGGGGGTAAAATTAAATAGAATACACTATTTATTTGTAATACTTTGATAAAAAAAATTACGGCTACAAAATCAAGGCTCTTTAGAGTTGAATGTAAATTAAGGTTTGAAAGTTAGGAACTTATGAAATTGAAATTGTAAATAATTATTGCATGTTGGATCATGAATATAAATATCATGAATTTATATTGGTGCTTGAATGGTTATTATTAGCCATATTTATTGATAACGTAAATTGTTGGTATTGTTGCATTAAGGACTTTGATGGTTAATACAATATGCTAGAATCTTATTATACGATCCTCTATAGAATATTTATTGTGTCCCCCCAACGACCAACACTTAATGTTTAGTTATTCAAATTCAGTCTTGACATATCCTTGTCAGTGTCATATATCTGCCTCTTTGCTTTCACTAACTTGTATCCTTTAGGTGACTACTAATCACAATCAATATAGCTATTGTCAATATGATGGGAAGCACAAGCATGTTATGACTCCAAATTTCTTCGGTACAATGCAGTTTACCCCGCGACCCGAGCTGTACATAACCCCATGTCATTGAGAAATAAGCACATAAGCCCCAAGCCTTTTAACTCAACTGTTAAGTTTTCCTTTATGGTTAACAGGTCAAATGCACAAGTCAAGATATCAATTAAATAAACATGTTGAAATGATGTAAATACCCTCATGACCATTTTTTCCCCTTCCTCTTCCTCTTTTCTCCTTCACTCTCTCCGTCAAAAACCTACAACCACCTGCCACCACTACAATCATCACCGTCGCGACAAACACTACACCATTGCTACCCGTCATTTACACTACCACTTCGAATTTTCTAAATTAAGCCCTTTTCTGCACACTTGTCTCACAATAATTACACCCACTGGCAAGCAATTTTTAATCTTTTGATAAATTAAATTCCCATCTCACAACTTCAACCTATCACCATCAGAAAACCACCACCACCAAACAATTTCACTCTTCAATATGCCACCACCAACCCACCATCACCATGGCAATCCCCTTAACAATTCATTAAAAGGCGGGCACCACACAAATACACACACAAGACCATGAACAAACCCAATGCAAGCACATGCAAAAGCACATGGTGAGTCAATGAGTGGTGGAGGATATGTGAGTCAAATTAGATTCTAATTTTAAGACATGCCAAAAAATAGAAAAGGGGAGGCCCTTTACATCCAATGTTTACATGTATATGAATAAATGTGTGTATGAGGTGGTGTTTTACATGTGTTCTCGTTTTAGTCTGAAGCCCTAAGGGTTATATCTTATTTTTCAAGCACAATGGGGCTATGTGCAACTAGTGAAAACCAAAAGGTGATATCATGTATTTTATTCTTTCTTGTTCATTTCAACATTCATTGCTTAAGGGACAACACAAGCCCTCTATTCCATGATGTGGTGCATTGCACTCGAATTGGTGAGGAAGTTTTACTCGTAAAAGTTTGTCCAGCATGAAAATAAAATTGCCTTTTCTTAGAGACGAAGAGCACAGAAAGTAATGCACTTTTAAAACTAGAAAGAACAAAAGTAAAAAAAAACCTGTGGGAAAATTGACAACAGCAAGGTGCGCAACTTGAAAAGACCAATGTTCCCATCCTGGATTAGCTCTTCAGTATGAGAAATAGCATTCTAAACAGCCAAAAGTTGCTCCATTGTGTTCATTGGTGGAGATGCTATTACCTTTAGTTCACGAACTGGTCTACCTTGGTCAAACCATCGTGTAAGCACTATAAAGACCCCTAAAAAGATGAGCACTAATGCAAAGGCATAGCCCAGCCATTCCCTGCAAAGAATATTTGTCAATTTTTGATAGCATATACTGTTGAAAGAGAACAAGGAAAGCCATTACTATGATTTGTGCAAGGAAATATCCAAACCCATACTTTTTATTAGGTGCTTGAAATATTCATCACCAATAATTCAATCACTGACAAAAACTGATTCGGCAAAAAGCAGGAACACTTAAAGGACAAAGAGCATGTGTCTTTAGTCATTACTGAGCCAACCATTCACAAGAGATTAAATCATAAATTCACAAAACCATTACTAGCTGAGTTACTAAACCAACCAAGAGGATATACTAGCCAAGCAGACACCTCAAATGCACAAAATTATTACAGCTACTTTACCCCCAAAATGCTGTAATTTTTTCATACATGACACATAATTCATTCAAATTTATGGCTAGAACAGGAACTACCTCACATTAGTTTGACATCAACTTACCGAAAAAAACTGGAAGAAAATAAATAATATTAATATAACGTTAAGTATTTATGCTGTTAAAATCAACAATGAAAAGAACAGTCCCTAGGGGAAAAGGTTAAAAAAAGCACCTTCCCTGAAAATGATATATGTAAAAACCAAACAGAACAGCAAAGACTTAGAAAGAAGCTGTTTCCCAAGTTCTGCCACAGGATAGAGCAACTCCTGCACGTACATGTGAAATTTAGAAGGTGCTACAAAATCAAAATTCAAGAAAGTTCCAACCACAGTTTGCATAAAAGGGGCCAGAACAAGATTCATGTTGCCAACCCAAATAGCTGGACTACAAAAATTGATACACCTTTGTGTTTGTTCAAGCTGGTTATCAAATTTCATTACTATTACTTTCAGGGCCCAAACCCACCACTTAGGATTGGCACTTCACCTGTTCTGATCCTTCCATATACTTAAAAATTCTGATATGAACCTAGAACAAAACAAAGCTTTAGTAACAAAACCTTGATTACTCCCAAATTGGTGTCAATGCCCTCAACTTTAGCGCCATCAACTGTAGCTTGTGCAATCACCACTTTTTTATAGCTGCTTTTTGATTCCTTGACTGCTTTTCCCAAAGAAGAGATCTCTCCCACACGGATCTCATCCACAAGAAGCCCAGCCTCAATGGGAACACCCGAACTGGTTCCAACCACAAATCCCAAGTTAGAAGGCATGGCAGAAGCTGATATTGAATACATTCTGCTTCCAGCTTTAGAACTATCAGTCCGCTCTAGTTCCCTTGACGTTGACATGTCCGCAAGTGTTTCCAATATCAGGTCTCCACCTGGATGTTGATCACAAACATTGAATATAAGTAGATCCTCACAGCAAAGAGGGATTGTAGAATTTATATCTTTGAGGGCTTGTACTCGCAGAATCCCAAGTATAGCTTTCAGCAGTGCTTCATCCTGTTCAACTCCAATAATCCGAAACTTATCTATGAATCTGTGAGCGTATAAAATTTCTCGGATAATGAATAGCCAATAGTCACGACGAGTATGACCTTTAAGCTCAGGGAACTCCATCACAGTAGGTTCTGATCTACATCAAAAACCTTATGAGATTTTAGAGCATTCCCGGTAATTTATACGAGGCTCCAACAATAACAGAAATTCAGTAACAAAACATGGCACTTTTATATTGAATAATAATAGTAAATTAATTTTGACCAATGCAACAAGTAGAAATGCATGATGCCTTACACGAATATAGATTTATACAAGACCGCCTTGTCAAAAAGTCTAGTTCCCCATGGTCCTGTTAACTCAGGTCTAACAACCTGCTTTAACTCATCAGACAAGTCATACACTTTTGCCTGGTCATATGACACAACATGAAGAGCTTCAAAGTAGAGAGCATGATCTGTCAGAGTTAATCGACCTGCCATCACAAACACATGCCAGAACAGACTCAAGAGAACATACCAGTTGTGGCCGAGTAGTTTTTACCACTTATTCCCTTCAAATTAAATTTGACTCCAAAATGACAATTCAAATATAAAAAACTGAAGTATCCTCAGAAATCACCAGGCCATGTAGAAATTCCCAAATGTTGAAGAACTGGCTGAGTGGTGACTGTCCTGTCTACTTCAAGAATTTTTCCCCTCTTGCTGATCGAAAGGCAGAGAGGAGAGATGACTCGGATTGCGTCTTCAATTTTCTTAATGCCCTGTAAAGAAGAAAAGTTCGAGTTTTAGGAATTGGATCGGTGCCACTAATCGTAGCATCAAAAAGACCAAAGAAGACGAGGTAAGAGAGTATAAATTTGGACCATATAAATTCCATTTTTTCATGAGTAAGAAAGCATCGCCAATACCAAAAATATACATTAAGTTAAAACAGAAAGACCACTTACTACAAGGATGCAAACCTAAACTAATGAAAGATTAGGGAAATGAGGTACTAGAGAACTGAATAATCATTCCTCTAAGTGTATCCGGAAAATAATGTTGGAATCTAACAAAAACCCCTAGTCCGGAGAATTATGTTGTACAAAGGTCCTATACTAATCATACCATCAACATAAAGTAACAGAACAATGAAACCTGAGAAAGTGAGCCGCCAAAAGAGAGCAGAATCATGATAATTGGTACCGAAGCCCAATCACAAATGGCTGAATAAAACTTGATAAACCATGCACTGTGAGCCGGTTTAAGACCATATAATGTCTTTTAGAGTTTCCACACCTGATCAAAAGACTGACGTAATCACAGGAGGAGAAGTCATAAGGACTTCTTCTGACAAATCTTTATTAAAAAAGACATTTTTCACATTCATCTGAAAAAGAATCTATTAATAAGAGCAACCACTATAATCACAGCGCGAACAATGGTCAGAAGCAAATTTCTTTTCATAGTCTATGTCATACTCTTGAGCAAATCCCTTAACTACTAACCGAGCCTTGTATCGTTCCACATAACCATCAAATTCGGTCTTAATTTTATAGACTCGTTTACAACCAACTATGCGTTTGCTAGGGGGTAATAACACCAACTTTTAGGTGTCAATCTTGTGTACAGCAAGAAACTCCTCATCCATCGCCCGCTTCAAAAAAGGATTAAGAACAACTTCCTTATAGAAGATAGATTCAGAAAAAGAGTGTATAAAAGCTAAGAAAGAATAAAAATCAATAGAATAGCAAGAGTTAAAGAAACCAAACCGATCTGGACATTTAAGAGATTGTTGAGGATAGTGAGGAACATATCCACAATGTCAGAACCTACCTAAGAAATGGTAAAAGAGGAAGGTATCACAATTGTAGAAGAGACAACTTGATTTTTGCAAGTATACATATGTACAATAGGGGGCTTGATAGGCAAATCATCATAGAAAAACACATTAGAGACAATCGTATCACCAATATAACTGTCAGAGGGATGATAAGTCAGAAATAAATCAATGCAAATGAGATCAAATTTTTGGAGATGTGAAGAACTAGATGGAATAGAAAACAAGGGAATACGCTCGAAGAAAACAGCATGAAGAGAGACATAGAGTTTATGTGCCACATGATCATAACAACGATACCCTTTTTGACCCTTACCATAATCAAGAAAAACACAAAGCAAAATGAGCAGAAAGTTTAGTATGAAAAACACTAGGAAGCAAGACAAAATAAGTGCATCCAAACACAAGCAAGAAGAAATAATGAGGTAACTTACCACATAGTTTTTCGAAGGTAGAGATTCCAAAAATGATGATAGTGGGAATACAATCAATCAGATGAAAAGTTGTAAGAACTACCTCCCCCAAAAAGAACTTGAGACATTTGCAAACAACGAGAGAAAATATTGTCTCTATAATATGGCAATGTTTGTACTCTACTACACCATTATATTTAGGTGTGTCAGTACAAGAAGATTGACAAATAGTGTCATTAGATTTTAACAGATCACGAAAAGAATTAAAAGAATATTCTTTCCTTAGTCACATCGAAAACATTCAATATTAGAGGAATATTAGGTACGTATCATAACACAAAAAGTAGTGAATACAAAAAAAGATTCAAAATGATACTTCTATAAATAAACTCACTAGTATCTGGTATAATTATAAATGAAAGTGACATAATATTTAGACCATCCTTTTGTGGAAATAAGAGCAGGTCCTCATATATTAGAATGAACCAGATCAAAAGGTGTAAGAGAGCTAATAAAACTTATATTACAAGGTAATGTTGTAATTTAGCTAACTTCCATCTATTACAACTAGAAATATCATGACACTCTAAGCTACCCAAACTGCCGATAGAGATTAAGAATTTCAAATGAAAATGATAAACATGACCAAAACGAGAATACCGCAAATAGAAGGTTGTGGACCCAAATGAAAAAAAGACAAATCAACAATAAAAGCAGTCATATCTGGAATATGCAACTAATCTAACACATCCAACCCTCCCTTTCTACTGTCAGTCCCAATTACCCTCTTGGACCATAGATCCAGCACAATATAACCAGAAGAAAAAAAATGAATGAACTACAATCAAGTTCAAGGTAAGTTGTGGAATAAAATAAACATCACCGACTAATGGCATTTGAGTACAATTGGCTACAAGCATAGATATAGATGGAGGTGAGACGGTAGAAACAAATAAAGAAAAATCATTAGTCATGTGATATGTAGAACATGAGTCAAAGACCCATGCAGTTTGGGATGTACCAGAAGGACCCGAAGTGAAGGAACCTACAGAAGGAGAAATTGAGAAAAAGCATATGCAACTGATCAGCACTCATAGTTAATTTTAAACTAATAGGCTGATGAGAATCAGATTATCCACTTGTCATAACTGTAACAAATGAAAAAATTCGAGTAACAACAATCAAATCACCTGAACCAAATCCAAAATACAAAGCCTAAAGTTCGATACAAGGGTCAGCAACCAGCAAATTTCAAGAAAATCAAACCCGCTGGAAATCAATAGACCAAACCTTGATATAAGCATCAAGCAATCAACGAGCCAACAAAACCAACCACCCTCCAAATCTCAGTTGCCACACCAAAGCCAAGAGAAAAGATACATAAGCTCAACAAATGCCATGTAAAAGGCCCCAATAGATCATGGCCGAAACAAAATCAGAGGTCGACAATTGTTTTTTAATAACATAAGCCTAATAAGAGTGAAAACCCAAATAGAAACAAAACCCCAACAAAACAAAAGGCCAACATAACAAAAACCTATCAACAAAAAAAAAAAGCCTTATAATCTCAACACTTGTTCTAGTCCATTATGCCCATCAGATCACAACTGTTAAGAGTAGTAGAGTGAGGGAGATCACACAAAAACCAGAGGGAGATCAAAAGGAGCCACTAAGCAAACAAGAGGAAGATCACAAAGTTAGTAGTGCAACCAAACCAGAAGGTCATCAAACCAGCAAAAGCAAGAGCAAATCAATTGTCCAGCAAAAATCCAGGCAAAATCGCACACAACTGGTGCGACACAGACCAATTCGAGAAGAAACCAGAAGAAAATTGCCAAAAATCTATTCAATATGCTACAAAGCTTCCAATTGACCACCAATAAGGCTAAATCGCACATTTCAGGTGGGTTGGAGGCAAGAAACTCGATCAGATATGGTATATATCACAAATCTATAATTTTAAGCCCTAATTTTTAAAAATTATTCAAAAATTCAAAAATCAATCACACCATGTTGTTAGTATTATGCCCTAAGATTAATCGTGTAGAGAAAGTCCATAGAGTATAAGTTAAGAAGATAGTTTGTCAAAGTGTTGAGAAGAGGAAACATATACTTCGTAATACTTAACTCTCAAATGTTCCTAGTCATAGGATTACTATATGGGCCAAGAAGAATGGATACTCCTCATGGGACATGACCGGACACGTATCCGACACTTTCACAAGTGTCTTGAACAATGAACATTTTCTATGGACAGAGGGGTGATATGGGCGGGACACAGCCATTGCCTGTGTTGAAACCAAAAAATAAAAATGAAAAAGGGAAGAAGACGATACATAGTTACAAACTTGAGATCAGCCATAGATCTCCTTCTCCTCTTCTTCTTCTTCTCTCCTCCTACTTGTTCTTCTTCTTCCTGATGCTCGAGCAAAATTTGATGTCATCGATCTCTCTCTCTTTGATTGCCAATTGGTGTGAGTCGGCTTGCAGCGTCTTTTTTCCTTCTTTGTCTCCAAGTCACTTCGGTGTGGTAGTGTCTAATCGACAGTTACCAAATAACCCTTGGACTTTTTATATTTTATGCAAAATTACAATTACAGCTTATTAGTTGTTACCCACTACCTAATTTGGTTTCGCTCATTGCCCATAACATATTAGCCTACTAATTATATTTAATATTAGCTCATTTGTACAATTATAAAATATTAATTAATTACTCAATTTTATTATTAATGTTATTATATATATATATATATATATATATATATATATATTATTTTAATTAATTGTATCCTCGTCGTACCTGTATCTTATATTTTGGAATTTTGTCGTATTCCTGTGTCTATATCGTATTGGATACAACACCTACGTTCATATCCGTACTTCTTAGCTATATGGACACTATGTAATCCGGATATATTAGCATACACTATACTTGCTCATATTTGATATGAGGTAACTCGTCCAAATCATTAGTGTATGGACACTAAAGCAGGTGTGTGAGTGCTTATTAGAGTACAAGTACATTGATGTGACTATTAACTTATTTTACATACCTATTAATGTTAAATCTTAAGTTATAATTATGCAACTGATCCTTAGATCTAAGACACTATAGTTGTCTAGTGCATGAACTTCTATATTTTAACTATACAACATATTCATATACTAACCATGTAACTTGGATATGTATTGTTGGACATAGTTAGACATGCATGGAGACTTATCAGTCTACAACATGAAATCTATCACCTTTAGTAAAAAAAATTGAGAATGTCTTATATAATCTTCTAGGATATGACTCAAGGAGTCATTGGCCAAGGTAGAATGACAATTTGAAAAGAGTTCCTAATTGATCATTAGGAATCATAGTCATAGATCAAACACATAAGATTAAGTTAAGAGTTTGACAAGGATTTTATAACTTAGTAATTCAATTGGGGCATGTGTGATAGAAGACTTGAATTATATGGCAGCCATAGTCTGAATGGGTTCTTAAACCTACTTCATGTTGTCTGTTAAATTAATCATGATATACTGCTAGGTGTCACCCCATCTCTCTCTATCTCTCTTTCTACTAGTTGATGAATGGTTAAAATAGATCCTTCAAGTTTGTCAATTCGTATGGATACCGATAGAGGCCAAACAAATACGAGGCTCGGGGTAAAGATCAAATTAAAATTTGAAGATTCAAGATTCTTGAGAGAGAGTTGACAATCGCTGCAAACTCAATCTTCTTATATCTCTTCCAAAGTCAAACCACCAAAATCGTGTTAATCTTCGTTTCATCTTAACAAATTTCAATTGCCAATCATCCGGCATATTATACTGATCAAAATAATCTTCGATAGAAGAAAGTAAGTTAAATAATATTTTAGTATTATTCCTTCCTTCAAAATTTGGAATCTCCATATAATTATAATACTTTTTTAACCCTCAAAATAATAGGCTCCTTGGCTCCAATGGCAAAGTGATATATCACAAATGTAGGAAAATGCTCTCCTACTGGCTATGGCATCGTTCTGACAACTTAGTTTTCAAAAGCTTTGAAATTCTCTAAAACATGTTTTTTGTTTGAATCTAACCAATAAAAACCGAAATACACCTCAACAAAAAAGGACCCATGGGTCACCACTACAACCCATTTCCAGCAAAATAACATACCATGAACTCTAATCATAAACAACTAGCCAACATGACTCTAAAATATACACAAGTATCTCTTACAACTCTAATAAGGCTAAATTTATACAGTGAAAGGTCCAAAGAGAGCATGCTTTGAAGTTTACCCAAATTCTGAGGATGTTTTGTTCTATGAACTTACTTTTTCATGATCTTCTTATTGACTGCATCACTGAACCAATGCCTAAACATAATTGTTTTCTTAAACCGGATATAGAACATAGAAACGATTTAATTAAGAGGACAAATTATGAAGGTTTTTAAATGCCACGAACAAAATTACAGGTGGAAAACATATCACCATAAACTTATGAACATCTTCGGTGGTTAGAGATGCACCATATCAATAGTCTAAGCTAGTAGAAAAGTGAAAAAAATACTTTAAATGAAAAACTAGACAACTCTCTCAATTTCTTGGCAATAAGTTCAACTGCCAAATTTCACCAATAATTGATAGAATGAAAGGTGGTAGTACCTTTCTAATGCAGTAAGGCACTTCTCATACACGGAGAACTGGAGCCGATCACCAGTTGATGCTGTGAGCACCTCAAAAAGATTCTCACTAATGATCACATTGGCAATGATGGGAACTGCTGGAGCAATTCGAGAAAAAGCCTCTACCCCAACTGTAACATCTGCATCCACCTGTAAGACAACCAAGTGTGAGACAATCCCAGACCAATTTCAGAAAGCACAAAAGTAGTAAGAAAAAATTCTTCTTACATGGGTACACAAACTAACTCTCTAGATATTTGTGTGAAAAAATACCTGACTGTGCATATATAGAGAAAAAACAGAGATATCCATAGTCTGATGAATCTGATTTATAGTAACCACATAGGATGGGTTTGAAGGTATTGTTAAAGTATGTCCTGCCACAGAATTACTGATATAATAACAACAAAACAAAACATACATTAAGCAATGGTTCACTGGCAGCAGCTGGGACCTCCCAAGCAATCATCATGTCAAATGTTAGGCGCCGAAACTTTGTGTCCTCCAGATAACCTGTTGCTTGTACAGACAGAGCAACCGCCCTAAAACAACAGTATTCTAAAAAGTTCCGTGCATAACATGATGGATGCTTTACAGAATCAGAAGCCTCGTCGTAGAAGTTCTCTTGAAGTTGACTTGTAGAAATGCCAAGGATTCTGCACCATTTATGTTTCATTGTCCACATTAAAGACTAGCAATTATAAATGATAATGATAATTGGCGCGCATGAACTGAAAGTATTGCATTGCTTGCTATCAATGCAAAGAAACTAGTACGGCTAGAAACTATATTTGCTATGGTAGAGAGCTCTGGCAACCAGTTCTTTCCAGCTGTTGGAGACCTTCCCATCTCCTCCAAGTCTTCGTCAAACGAACTCTGGTTCTTAATCAACCATTTAAATGGCCCTTCTCTTACCAGACCCTCGAGCATATTTCTGGTTTTGTTCACCATAGCCATCTACGAAATTTGCACCTTCTACAACATCAACTGTTATGAAGCGCCCCACCTAAACACTTGCGGAAAATTTACACTTAGAAATGGGTACTCCAAAATTTTCCAATCCTACAAAACCCTCATCACGTAAATACTAAGCAAACACCACCTTATTCAATAACCAGGATAAAACTTTTCTTATTAAAAACCCTACACATGTGACTTGTCAAATGCCTACTCAATAAAAATGAGCCATAAACGATTACCTCAATAGGGAAATCCAGACTAAAATTTTTCTCATACGATACATACTTCCGGAAAAAACCCATCATAGCTTATTCATTAGACACCTAAATGCAAGAATGAAATAACCCAACAATATAAGCTGAGCTCAACCGCATAAAGTTGCCTGAAAAAAGCATAAACAGACCCGAATTTGGATATTGCGCATAAAACTTTCTCCGATCATGCGAAAATTCGCAAACTTTGCCTGAGATTAGAACCATTGGACCGTTACGACAAACCCGCAATTTATAATTTCAAGCGTAGACAAAGCCAAGAGATAACTTCAGATGATTATATAAACGGTTAATCTCAACTTGGACTTTAAAAAATTATTTGAATTTTAATTTATACTTTTAAAATTTAAAAATATTAATTTAGATCCTAAAATATATAAATACGTATTAATATGCACATTAGAGACTAACCGTCATCTATGTTGCCATTAAAAAAGTTTAGATTAATTATAAATTGTAGCCCTCAGAATTTAAATATTTCACGTTTATGATCCAAAAATAATTTCATCAATTAATGCTAATTAAATAACTTTCAATTGCACCGTATCATAACATTTTTATGTCATGTTTGAGTCAATAAAAAAAGTATATTTTTTTGTCAAGTCAATTATGTTGTGTTTTGTATTTAATATTTATGACAATAAATATAATATTTTTTAAAAATTAAAAAATACCAATTTTTTTGTTTGTAATACTTGTTAAATAATTATTTTTTATCTACAGTTGTGTTATTCCTATTTAACTTTAATTTGATCGGACACAATAGGCAAAAAATAATTATTTAACGAGTATTGTAAGAAAAAAATAAATAATTTATAATTTTTTTTAATTTTGTAAAATATTTTTATTGATTTAAATACACCACAAAGATGCTATGATACGATAGAATTGAGAGCTATTTAACGAGCATTAATTAATAAAAAAAAAAATTTGACTCATAAATATAAAATATTTAAACCTGGAGGGTATAATTTATAATTAACTTAAACTTTTTTAACCGAAAAATGAACGGAGTTAGCATCAGGTGCACATTAATACGAATTTATATGTTTTAAATTATAAATTAATATTTTTACACGGTACAAATTAAAATGGAAGTGACATTTCAAAGTAGAAGTTAAGATTAATCCTTACATAAATATCTCTTTCTCCGTTCCCCCAATAGATTCTGTCTTGATCTGGGGTTTTCAGGCAAGTTCGAAAGGAGTGTGAAATAAGATGTGACGGAGAGAGAGGCTTCAATCTATGGCGCAGTGAACTGTGGGTGCATTTTAGCATTCAACGTCCTGTTTATTTTTGTTTATAGCTTTGGTTTTCTGAAATACTGTCGGAATTAAGCACGGTAATTCAATTTTAAGAATTAATTATATTAAAGATCCCTAAATTATGAAATTTGTCTTATCAAATTAATCCGTACTTGAAGGCATGTTACAATGTTAATAGTTTTGAAAGAAATATTAGTGGTCATTAGATGAGTTTATTTGAAACTGTCGAATGAGTTTATTGAAACCTGTTCTATTTTATATTATAGATTATATATTATATATATTTCAATTGTATCATTTTAGTCCATAAAATATTGAATATACTTATATGGGTCCCTCAAATAAATAGCATCCAGATTGTTAATAATTTTTTATCATAAATTTATCAAGTGATATCTAAATATGGATAAAAAAATAATTTAAATGACTCTTGACCAAAATTTTACCCAAATTTTAGTTAAAGAGTTACCCAAATTACACAATTTTAATTATAAGTTATCCGAATTATGATCAATAACTATTCATATTACACATTTTTTTGTCAAAAGTTAGTCAAATTTTGGTCAAAAGTTATCCAAATTATTTTTTTGCTCACATTTAGGTATCACGTGATAAATTTATGATAAAAAATTATTAGCAATTTGAACGCTATTCCCTTGAGGGACCATATAAAAATAAATTCAATACTTTAGGGACAAAAAATGTGCAATTGAAATATTGGGGACCAAAATAAGATAAATCACATATTTTGGGGACCTGCAATACAATTAACTCATTTTTTAATTTACAATCTAAGAAATAAAAATTCCAAGTTATACCATTAATCTATATTTATATCTATTTATCTATACTCCTTATAAATATCAACAAAAGTGAAAAACATTTATTTGACCAAAATAACCTTAACAAACTACTTACTGTCAATCATATCTTTTCGTAGTCAATAATATTTTAAATTATATATATAATTCTCGAAGTTATGACTTGTGTGGACCGTTGAGCTTCCACCGAAATTGATACACTGCCCGTTACTTACATTCATCACTTCAACTTTCTCTCTCTCTCTTGTGTGTTACTTTACCCTTTTTTGTCTCCCCCTTTCTCTCCCCCACACTTTAATTTACCCATTCAAATCTTGATCTGTCACTTTTTTTTCCCCAACAATGTGCTTGAATGATGAACATCAAATCGAGGTCTTGGTCCATGGACACAAATTCTACACCTAAGATGGAAAGAGGTTCGTGGATTCAAATCCAATGAGAAAGAATTAGGTTTATGTGGTTTAGTCATTCTAATTGGAGAAATTCAGTTTGGTCAATCATTATTTTGGCATGTGCATTATTCTTATTGCTCGCATTTGAGTTCAATTATTTGATGTCAAACTGAATAGGCCTCATCCTGTTCTTCATCACGTTTTTCTTTTTGCTCTTGCTTTTGTGTTCTCATTGTCTCTCCCATTCTTTCCTCCCCTAAAAACCAAAAGAAATTCAAGTAAGTTTTGTATTTATCTGATTAATCTTTTCTTTGTCTCCATGGCAGGTGAGCTATGATATACACACACAAATAATGTTACGACCGTGGTTTATGGTGTATTGGAAATTAGATGTAATTAGGTTCTAAAGATGGCATTATAAACAATTGGAATTTGGGGTATATTAACTGTCATGTCGTAAATATAGTCATATTTTGTTAAATAAATATCTAAATTTATTCTAATATCGAATAGGGCTCTGGGTTGTCAAAGAGAATGTAAAATCCAAACAGCTATTAACCCTTCTTTCTTCTTTTATGTGAATTGGTTTGTTTGGCTAAAAGTTATCAATCTTATTTTACCATTCTCCTTTCCTTTCTTAAAATTTTTATTGTAATTTCGTGATACTGTTTTGTATCTGTACTTTTAGTTATAATGCCTCCATCGGCCATTAATCGCCTTTACTTGATTTTTTTATGTTTTCTGTTGTGATATATTTTGTCGTTGATCCTACCCTTTTTGCTCTTTAATTTTCATGTACTACTAAAATAAAACATGACCCCGCATCATCTATTATTGAATATTGCTTGAGCTTCACAATGTCATTGTTGAGCATCTTTCACTTGTTTTACCTATCAATGACACAATGCTATTATTTTTAGTGTGCTCTTAAAAAATAGTAAATTAGTAGCTTTCTTTGACAGAGGAATAATGGGTCCTAATTTATTATTGGTTTTTTGTGTTATTTCAAAAGATTCTATGCACTATTGATCTTTGATGACATTAAGGATCCAATTGACTTTGTTGGTCGAAGGAAATAATCTATTTTGCCCAATACTATGAAAACATCTCAAAATATAAATCAGAAACCTAGAAAAGGTACTTGAATTTCTTATTGCCAATGTTTGAAAATTACGAATCTAATCCATATGTGTCATTCCGTATGTTGGTAAATGACTAATTAAATTAGTTCTGTGAATGATACGTGATATGATTCTAGCTTAGTAACAATGTACAGAGTATATCTTTGTTTGAAATTTATTTTATCATTATGGAATTTTGCCAAAGAATATGATTTGAGACATAATGGGAGTATCATACAATGGTGCTTAGATGGAATCATTGAACGAATGGGTAATGTGATGCAAACTATTTACAAATATTTTTTTCTTTNAAATATAGTCATATTTTGTTAAATAAATATCTAAATTTATTCTAATATCGAATAGGGCTCTGGGTTGTCAAAGAGAATGTAAAATCCAAACAGCTATTAACCCTTCTTTCTTCTTTTATGTGAATTGGTTTGTTTGGCTAAAAGTTATCAATCTTATTTTACCATTCTCCTTTCCTTTCTTAAAATTTTTATTGTAATTTCGTGATACTGTTTTGTATCTGTACTTTTAGTTATAATGCCTCCATCGGCCATTAATCGCCTTTACTTGATTTTTTTATGTTTTCTGTTGTGATATATTTTGTCGTTGATCCTACCCTTTTTGCTCTTTAATTTTCATGTACTACTAAAATAAAACATGACCCCGCATCATCTATTATTGAATATTGCTTGAGCTTCACAATGTCATTGTTGAGCATCTTTCACTTGTTTTACCTATCAATGACACAATGCTATTATTTTTAGTGTGCTCTTAAAAAATAGTAAATTAGTAGCTTTCTTTGACAGAGGAATAATGGGTCCTAATTTATTATTGGTTTTTTGTGTTATTTCAAAAGATTCTATGCACTATTGATCTTTGATGACATTAAGGATCCAATTGACTTTGTTGGTCGAAGGAAATAATCTATTTTGCCCAATACTATGAAAACATCTCAAAATATAAATCAGAAACCTAGAAAAGGTACTTGAATTTCTTATTGCCAATGTTTGAAAATTACGAATCTAATCCATATGTGTCATTCCGTATGTTGGTAAATGACTAATTAAATTAGTTCTGTGAATGATACGTGATATGATTCTAGCTTAGTAACAATGTACAGAGTATATCTTTGTTTGAAATTTATTTTATCATTATGGAATTTTGCCAAAGAATATGATTTGAGACATAATGGGAGTATCATACAATGGTGCTTAGATGGAATCATTGAACGAATGGGTAATGTGATGCAAACTATTTACAAATATTTTTTTCTTTTTCTCTATTTTTTGAACAATCCTACATATGTTGTCAAATGCTCAATGCAGTGAATGATTGCTTATGACCATCGATACCACACTTAAATTTTCATTTTTTTGGTAAATTATTCCTTGAAAACATTTTAAATGTTTCTTTGATTCCAATTTCAATTTGAGTTGAATTGTTAAAGAGAATAAATCAATTACATATAACAAGGTACAATACATGGAGCGAGAAAAAATGGACTGAGACTACTGCTATCCATGCATACTTTCTTGAATGAAACACATATGGCAAGAGTTATTTGATTTTGAGATGTTTCATTCTATGTCTGATTTTGAGTTGTCTGATTTTGAGATGTTTCATTCTATGCCTGATTAAAATTTCATTCTATGCAATTAGATTGAATGAAACTTGTCTTTATTGATTTGAGCATGACCAAAAATAAACTAACATAGAATGAATACATTATATGTTAAGGCGTTGTGTGACGATGGATTCGTCAGTGTAAACATGAACTAACATAAATGTTGACAATCTTTTCTTTTCTTCTAATAGTTTTTTGGTTGTTGATTGTTGAGTGGTGGCCTTGTTGAGTTCCTCTATTTTTGACAACGAGCAACAAATGGTAACTTCCAAACTGGAGTGTTGGCTCAATTAAACCTGATTCAATGTTCTATATCGAACTCTGGTATTTATGTGTTACAGGATACATTTTTAAAAGAGAATGCTTCATTGTCCAATAGTGTAACAAATCTTTTTTTTCCTTGTAGCACTGTAAAGAATCTCAATTGTCATGTTGCCTAGCTATGTGGAAGAATTCTCAATTGTAGTTTATTGTTTTTTTTTGTTAGTGATACAAAAAAGTGTGTTAGTTCATATGTGTTGGTGCGAAGGATGGGGCTTTGGTGTTGATTTTCACAAAGAGAGCAAGAAAGTAGTCACTATATATTTTTTCTATTTTTTTTGTTTGTGGTCATAAAGTAGTTGTCTACATTTGTAGAATTTTCACACATTTCATATATTATCTAATTGTTGTTTTTGTATTTGATTGTCTTCAATTTTATATTTTTGGCGTATTCGATTTCTTAGCTTGATCTTGGCTACTGTTTATGCCTTCTTTAAGCCTTTCATTTTTCCTCATTACTAATGTTTTATCATTCACCTATTTTAAGTAACAATAATATACAAAATTATAGTTCCTACAATGCTTAATTCTATGTGATTAATTTCCTATCGAAAATCAAACTTAAGTCATATCATATAACTAAGAAAACAACTCTATTCAGGGGGGAAAAAATGTTGACAATACATATTGGTTTTACTACATATACTTTGATTACAAAATAAAATCACAATTATAACTCAAAAATGGTTCACGTGCAACGCACGTGTGTGCCAACTAGTTTTATGAAGTGAGTGAATGTCTTTAATTATTGTTATGAGTTTAAGTTTAGCATTATTCAGTTTATTATTATAGATATATTTGTTCTTGAATGAAATGGTAGGTAATTCAGTATATATTTGAATAGATATCTATATCTATATCTATCTATTCTATGAATTGAGTGAATGTCTTTAATTATTTTTATGAGTTTAAGTTTAGCATTATTCAGTTTATTATTGTAGATATATTTTTTCTTGAATGAAATGGTAGGTAATTTAGTATATATTTGTATCCTATTCACATACGCACACCATCCTCTCCCACACACACTATCGTTCTCTCTTCCCTTCTCTCTGTATGCCTCTCTCTCTCTCTCACACACACAAGATTTAATGCTAGGAATTAAATAAAAAATTGGGATTGAAAAAAAAAGTTGGGTTCTTTAGGAAAAAAAAGAGTTTGTATATTTTTGTGCAAAAGGGTTATTAGGTTAGAATTTTCTTGAGGAAACTTTATTTGATTTGAGAGAGAAACACTAGATCTGTGAGAAATTTTTTGAAGAACTAATAAAGTCAAGAAATTGCTAGGGATTCGGCAAAATTTCATGCACAGCCACATGGTGATTGACAAAATGCTGCCATAAGAAAAATTCCATCAACTCTCTTTTTTTAACTAGGACATCTCTCTCTCTCTCTCTCTCTCTCTTTCCCCTTTGCCATGGCTCACCCAGCAAAGGTCTGTTGGACCAAAACAGTTTTTTTAAGTGTAAAAACTGAATTTTTGGTCGACTTTAAGCCTAAATTAAAGTGGGACCCATTTGTTATTTCAAGTAAACTTTCATGGATTCATATTCTACTCTATGAGGAGAATAACAAAGTATATTCACTAGATCAAATCAAGTAAGAAATGAATGAGAAAATAGGTTCCAAAGTGGCCCTCTTGAAATATGAATTTCTTAGCCCTTAATTTTGGTATCCGTTGGATTGCACTGGTTCAGATTTGTTGCTTCCCTCCAGTCTAAATTGAGTTGTGTTTGTTCATAAAGAACAGTTACAACAAATGGTGTCTCCTGACTTGCATTTGTCTTCTAGGTTGTGTCTTTTAGCATGGTGGCTATCCGAAAAGTCATCAAAATGTCTATAAATACCCAGGCTCTCATTAGCATTAAGTATTCAATCACTTATTCATTCATTAGTCCATTTTCGACACTAAGGCATACATTATTGCATTGCATTTTGGCATTAAGGTAGTGTGCATTTTGGAGAGTACACAACACAATTTTTGGTTCACTGGATGAGTAGATTGGAGTTCTACTTCTACTCGTGTAAAGATCATTGTATCCTGGGAGATAGACGCTTGATATTCCAGAAACACCGTGTGGGGGGGGCAAAATTTGTCTTAAGGATAGAGTGTCAAACACTAGCCTTGATCTACATAAAGTTCAATAATAGTTCATGTTCTGTGACCAGGT